CAACTTCCATGTCAGAGGATAAAGAGAGCACATCCAACCAGTCACAGTCAGAGAAAAAGGACTACACTGAAAAATAGGCTGATATCTAACATTTATAAACAAGAACTTACAGATTAATCAGGGTCGGAGAATAAAGATAGAATGAAGCAGATTGATGAAATGGGGGTCCCTATGTCCTCCAGAAGTCTAGACCTATAGCAGCATAACTATAGAGATAGCTCAGGATAACCTGAGCCACTCGAACTATGAGCTTTATCAAAAAGGAAAGTTTTAAGCCTACCCTTAAAAGTAGACAGGGTGTCTGCCTCACGGACTAAAACTGGTAGTTGGTTCCACAGGAGAGGAGCCTGATAACTAAATGAACTGCCTCCCATTCTACTTTTAGAAATTCTAGGAACCACTAGTAAACCTGCAGATTGGGAGCAAAGTGCTCTGTTAGGAACATAAGGAACAATCAGATCTCTGATATAAGATGGAGCTTTTAAGGCTTTGTATGTGAGAAGGTAGATTTTAAATTCTATTCTTTATCTCGTTATCTTTGTTCAATCCAACCTCCATGCTGCAGTACTGGTTATCAGCCAGCAGATGGAGCCAGAGTCCTCTAGATAACAAAGGAAAACATATTCTTAGCACTTTGATTAATTGGGTCTGTGGGGTCCCATCAGTTCTGGGTTCTGTTTATTTGAACAGCGTTAGGTCACAACAGTACAGAATTAAGGGATTAATAAAGTAATTCTGATTCTGATACAGGATTACTAAGTGGGAACAAATGGCTCAGATCTGTGCAGCTGCAATATAGTCCTAACAGAACCTGGTCTGCTTATACAGAGAAACTATAAGGTTGTTTCCTGAGTCTAACCCAAGGAAATTAAACCGCCAGCAGAATCCGAACCAGAACCACGCAGGCTCAGTATGAAGGAGCATCTGCTATGAGCAACTCAAAGTTGAAGGTAAAAAAAAAAAAAAAAAAAAAATAAAAAAAAAAAAAAAAAAAAAAAAAAAAA